CGGGTCCCCCCCCTCCTCGCTCTTTCCCGGGCTCCCCCCTCCGGTTCCCCGCTCTATCTGACCCTCTCCCCTGCAGATGGCCGGAGAACTGACGGACAAGAAGGACCGGGACGCGTCCCCCGCCAAGGAGGAGAGGAAGCGCTCCCGCTCCCCAGACAGGGACCGGGATCGCGACAGGGACCGGGACCGGGACCGCAAGGGTTCCCCCTCCAAGGACAGGAAGCGGCACCGGTCCCGGGACAGGAGACGAGGCAGCCGGGGGGGGGCCCGCTCTCGGTCTAAGTCAACAGAGAGGTGAGGGGTGTTACACGGGGCTTCCCAACTTTTTAGGGAAGAGCTCTCCTGCTCCCACGTGTCCATAACAGCCCCACGAAGGGGCGGTGGTTGGGCTGGGGCCGTGCTGTGACTGCCCCACTCCGCAGGGATCGCCGGCACAAAGAGCGTGACCGGGACCGGAACAAGAAGGACCGGGACCGGGATAAGGATGGGCACCGGCGGGACAAGGACAGGAAGCGGTCCAGGTGAGGCCCCTCTCTTTTCGGGGTGTCCATTCTCTCCTGTAGGCACCCCAGTGCTGTTCCCTGTAGGAAGTGTTGTCCTAGGTAGGAGCGGGATTCCCCCGGCTGGTGGGGACGGGGTGACCCTGGGGCCGTGCTCGGTGTCTGATGCCTCTCTGTTTTGCTGGGAAGCTTGTCCCCGAGCAGGGGCAAGGACTCAAAGTCCCGGAAGGATCGGGACTCACGGAAAGCGGAGGAGGAGGAGGAGAATGCCCTGAAGAAGGAGAAGGTGAGGAGGGGGCTTGGCTGGGGATCGCTCTGGTGAGGCAAAGGGTCCCCGCTGGGGGCTGCTAACGATCTGGCTTTGCGTTTGCAGGCCCAGCCCCTGTCCTTGGAGGAGCTGCTGGCTAAGAAGAAGGCTGAAGAGGAGGCAGAAGCCAAGGTAGGAGCAGGAGCCTCCTCCCTTCCGCAGGGCTCTGCAGCACGGGGTGGATGTTTGAGCAGGGGGGGGAACCCTGTCCTGGGGCAGCCCCAGCAGCGAGGGGGTCACTGCCAGGCCCGGTGTGAGCCTTCCTCTTGCCTGTCCCAGCCAAAGTTCCTGTCCAAGGCGGAGCGAGAGGCTGAGGCCTTGCGGCGGCGGCAGCAGGAGGTGGAGGATCGGCAGCGGCTGCTGGAGGAGGAGAGGAAGAAGAGGAAGCAGTTCCAGGAGATGGGCAGGAAAATGCTGGGTAAGGTGTCGTCCCCACTGCGGTCTGCCTGGCTGAGAAGGACTAAGGCAGGACCCCCTGAGCCCCCCAGCCCTGGTTGGGGGGGGTGTGCTTGTCTCTGAGACCCTTCCCCTGCTCCCCAGAAGACCCCCAGGAGCGTGAGCGCAGGGAGCGCCGCGAGCGCATGGAGCGGGAAACCAACGGCACGGAGGATGAGGAGGGCAGGCAGAAGATCCGTGAGGAGAAAGACAAGAGCAAAGAGCTTCACGCCATCAAGGTTAGCGCTGGGGCGATGGTGGGGGCTGAGGGACCTGGGTTCCCTCCCCGCTGATCTCCTGCCTGCAGGAGCGTTACCTGGGAGGAGTGAAGAAGCGGAGACGCACGCGGCACCTGAACGACCGCAAGTTTGTCTTTGAGTGGGACGCGTCGGAAGACACATCCATTGACTACAACCCCCTGTGAGTGCTGGGGGGCCCCGGGGGCTGGGAGTGCTCCTGGGGGTGCGGGGCAGCCCCAGCCCTGCCCCTAATGCTCTCACCCTGCTCTAGGTACAAGGAGAGGCACCAAGTGCAGCTGCTGGGCCGGGGCTTCATTGCGGGGATCGACCTGAAGCAGCAGAAACGGGAACAGTCGCGCTTCTACGGGGACCTGATGGAGAAGAGGCGGACGCTGGAGGAGAAGGAGCAGGAGGAGTGAGTGCACGTGGGGGGAGCTGGGAGGGTGCCGAGGGGTGTTTTGGGTGCTGGCTGCCTCTGCTTGGCCGGGCTGTGGAGCTGGGGGGTGGCTCTGGGATGCAGCACGTCCTTCAGATGGGTGGCAGGATGGCTCCAGCCACCCCAGAGGCATGGGGTGAGCCCTGTCCCCTTCCTTGCCCCCCATCCAGGGCCCGGCTGCGGAAGCTGCGGAAGAAGGAGGCCAAGCAGCGCTGGGATGACCGGCACTGGTCCCAGAAGAAGCTGGACGAGATGACAGATAGGGACTGGCGTATTTTCCGTGAGGACTACAGCATCACCACTAAGGGGGGCAAGATCCCCAACCCCATCCGCTCCTGGAAGGACTCTTCCCTGCCCCCCCACATCCTGGAGGTCATCGACAAGTGTGGCTACAAGGTGGGGATGGGGAGGGGGGGCTGCTGCTAGCGGACCCCGATGGGGGTCTGGGTGGAGGGTGAAAGGGCTGGTTCTTGGGGTCAAGTCTCGGGGCGGGGGCAAGGAGTAGAAGTTCTGTTCCCAAACCTGCCCTTCCCCTCGCCAGGAGCCCACCCCTATCCAGCGCCAGGCGATCCCCATTGGCCTGCAGAACCGCGACATCATCGGCGTGGCCGAGACCGGCAGCGGCAAAACCGCGGCTTTCCTCATCCCGCTGCTGGTGTGGATCACCACCCTGCCCAAGATCGATCGGTAGGTGGGACAGGGCAGGGTGACGCTGCAGAGGGGCAGGCGTGTGGCACCGTGGGTGACGCTGCCATGCCCTGCCACACCGCAGGATTGAGGAGTCGGACCAGGGTCCCTATGCCATCATCCTGGCCCCCACTCGAGAGCTGGCCCAGCAGATTGAGGAGGAAACCATCAAGTTTGGGAAGCCTCTGGGTATCCGCACGGTGGCCGTGATCGGAGGCATCTCCCGCGAGGACCAAGGCTTCCGCCTTCGCATGGGCTGTGAGGTGAGTGTTGTCCACTGGGGAGGGCGGTGGGGGGACCTGGGAGGAACAGTTGAGCCCCAGGCTGCGGACACCAACCCTCCTGGCCCCCCCAGATTGTCATCGCCACTCCGGGACGTCTCATCGACGTGCTGGAGAACCGGTACTTGGTGTTGAGCCGCTGCACCTACGTGGTGCTGGACGAGGCAGATCGCATGATCGACATGGGCTTCGAGCCCGACGTACAGAAGATCCTGGAGCACATGCCCGTCACCAACCAAAAACCTGACACTGATGAGGCCGAGGACCCCGAGAAGATGCTGGCCAACTTTGAGTCAGGGAAACACAAGTACAGACAGGTGGGTGCAGGCAGGAGAGACCCGGGCAGCGGCGTGGGTGCTCCCACAGCGCTGAGCACAGTCCATGGGGTGGAGAGGGGATAACCTGGGGCTTTGGAGAACGGGCCAGGGGAGCGCAGCCGCGTTCCTGCCCCATGGGGGACGTTGCTCACTGCCCCATTCTCTCACAGACCGTCATGTTCACGGCCACCATGCCGCCAGCAGTGGAGCGCCTGGCCCGCAGCTACCTCCGCCGTCCAGCCGTGGTCTACATTGGCTCTGCTGGCAAACCCCACGAGCGGGTGGAGCAGAAGGTCTTCCTCATGTCGGAGTCGGAGAAGAGGTGCAGAGGGGGCCGCTGGGGTGGGGTGGTGTGGGGAGGATGCATCTTGGGGGTGGTCTGGGGCATTTGAGGGTGAGGAAGCTCTGGGAGGGGGACTCTGGAGAGCAGAGGGGCTCCTGTGGGGCACCTCAGCCTCTCCTTGCCCAACCGTCCTCCTCCCCAACAGGAAGAAGCTGTTGGCCATCCTGGAGCAGGGCTTCGATCCGCCCATCATCATCTTCGTCAACCAGAAGAAGGGCTGCGACGTGCTGGCAAAATCCCTGGAGAAGATGGGGGTGAGTTTGGGCTGGGCTGGAGCCCCTCAACTTTGGCTGTGGTGGGGGGGGGGGG